GACGTTAACAGGATGGCTCTCTGATGCACAATACACTCAATTATATTGTTCGACTCCTCATTTACTGTCACTCCACACATACAGCAAGAATTAAACAATGGGTCTCTGCATTTCGGTTTGGAGTGGGATTCCGGGGAGCAAGGGTCAATCAAATAAATGAATGAATATGTTTTAGTTCGTGGCTTCTTTCCTCATCCTTACCGTACTATGAAGCTACCCACTGAACGACGTTACACAGATGATGTGAAAACTTTCAGCGCTTTATTCAGCGATTGTGACTCTAATTTACGTCGCCCGCATTCACCTATGCTGGTATCGAAGCTGCTTCATAACCAATGAACAAATCGGTAGAAATTAACCAATGGAAGTTTGTATAATCAAGTCTCTGGATGTATATGTGGAAGTCAGCGAAGTGGGTTTGAACTTCAGTACTATTCTAGACAAAAATGCCTTTCCAGCATGATTACCTGATCCCTGGAAGCTTTATCCTTCTTATTCTACTCCTATCTGAGAGAGCTCATCAGTTCGACGGTTGCAAACCTGTGAAAGGTGGACATGTTATGGAACGTAAATGTAAATCTGGCAAGTTCCGGTGGCGAGTGGTTGAAAACAAAATGTTGAAAATTCATTTCCTGGTCATGAGTGCAACTTCTGTGGAAGATTGCAAGAACATATGTGAAACCTTCCCCCAATGTGGCGCTTTTGACCGGAGTGTTCATGAACAGGTAATTGTTCGATTAAATCTGATTAGGATGGATTTTTATGCCAATTATTATAAATGCTATGTCAAGTTTTAAACACAACGTTTCACACGTAATTACTTTTGATACGGAGTCACTTACTGGATTTCACTTAACAAGGGACAGCTGCGATCTTCTGTAAACGACCGTTTGGAACGATACTTGTTTTTAGACTGATTCAACTCAGATTTGTGATTAGTTCTCGTAAGAAAGGAAATACTGGTACTCTCCTTGTTTGCAACAATTAGCTGGCTAGTGATCACTGGAACGGAAAAGACCAGGATGTTGCGTAATAAATAGAGACGACATATTATTCTTTTACTGTTATTGAATATACCTGCTAACATCGAGGTAGAGCTAAACTGCACAATGTGTGTTGCATTTACTCGCAAGGCCTTTTGTTAAAAGCGGAAAGGAGCTTTCACTGAGAAGACTGACAATAAGAAACGAGACCTATACAGAGCTGTGACATTTGAGTATGCCTTACGTGAATCAACACAACTCACGAATTCGCAGTGTTCGGTCAAGAGATTCCAACTGACTTATAATTACAATTCAGCCTGTTTGGTAAAATCAATTCAGAACTCCTGCCATCAGCGTGCACAGTGAATTTGACGGTATTTTGTCTATCAGTTCTAACCGTATGGTTTGGTGTTGGTACTGTTATTGCTTGAATAGCCAGTCTGCTACCCTGATGCGATCATCCTGGCCGGTTCTGACAGAAGGAAGTAGGACTGGACTTTGGTTTATCTCGTATGGTAGCTCACACTTTCCCTCTTCAGTATTCAGACTTTGAAGCGAGACTGCAATCACTGTATTAAACAGACTCAAATTGGAGGCGAGCTGGATAAACATCGGTCTGCAACGTAAGGCGCCTGCTAGGAGACTCCAACGACGATTTGGCTACTATCCTGGTTATTTCTACGGATTGATTTACTTGTTGGGATTCCATCAGTGGTATGCATTCCGTACCTAAATTTCAAAGGAATTGTTCCCAGAAATCAGATTTTGAAAGAGCCAGATTCACAGGGGTTTCCGATCACAGCTCAACTGTTACTAGCAAAAACTTACAGAATTTTCCATCAGAAAGGAAGTATTTGAAAGCATTCAAAAACTCTTGCTTTGTGCAGAAAAACAGCTTAAGGACAGAAGGCAATCATTGTCCCGAATGAGGCTCTCCTTTCCAAGTCCACAAACGTTCTAGGTGTGGAGTTAACACAAAACCATATATCACGGTTTTTGTTATTTGTTTCTAATTTACCGCGAAATCGCACTGGTTGAAGGAACGTGCCCCATGAAGGTTGTTGGTTGGAAAAGGGGGAAAAAACTAGCAAGCTTGACGTAACGGATTATTTCTAGTAAAACTAATGGAGAAAAATACATAAAATGTTACACTTTCCTCTTCAGTAAT